ACGGTTATAAATGAAAAATCATGATTTAACGGTTATTTTAACTCCGATTTTGATGATTTTTTACCGCTACACTCCTTTACCCTATATGAATACAATGACTGAATTTGATCTTCAATTTAAAATATTTACACTAGTGGATACCACAAAATCTTATGTTATATTTAACAAAAGTATAAATAAACTCTTAATTGTTAGTGAATATATTGTTTTGATGGCATACGCATTCTACGAAACTAGTTTGAACGATCCAACCGTCAAACTTGTTTGTTTATACTTTCAGATCATATACGCCAAAAATCGGAAAAAATAAACATTCAGAGATCAAGTAACGGGACAAAACTTTTCGACGGTTATAAATGAAAAATTATGATTTAACGGTTATTTTAACTCCGATTGTGATGATTTTTTACCGCTATACTCTTTTACCATATATGAATACAATTACTGAATTTGATCTTCAATTTAGAATATTTACACTAGTGCATACCACAAAATCTTATGTTATATTTAACAAAATTATATTTTCTAACAAAAACCCAATCCAAACAACAATAATATATTTTTCTAACAAAGATTTTAAAAAATATATTTTTTAATTTATTTTATAAAGACTTTGCGCGACGAATTTTTGTTGTTTCGTCGCTCAAAGTAGCTTTGCGCGACGAAATGATTTTCGTCGCGCAAAGTAGTTTTGAGCGACTAATTTTTTTTTGTTACCCAAGGCTCTTTGCGCGACGAATTTTTTTCCGGAGCTCAAAGCGACTTTGCGCGACAAATTTTTTTTGGTCGCGCAAAATTTGGTTGCTTAAGACTTTGCGCGACGACGTATTATCGTCGCGCAAAAGTTGGTCGCGCAAGGTTTTTAGCGACGAAGTTTTGTGTTTCGTCGCGCAAAGTGACTTTGTGCGACGAATAATTTTTCGTCGCGCAAAATTTGGTCGCGCAAGGGTTATTTTGTAGTAGTGCCATTGTTAATTGTGATTGTTTTAATTGAACGTATTTAATCCGTTTTATATTTACACAAATATGCATATATTTCTAACATCATCCTCCATACACACTTCCTCAGCCAATATGTTCAGGAAAGGATGGTATCCATGTTATCTTGTCCAGCGTCATTGAACTTTCCAACTCCGACATTAAGGCTTTCAGGGACAGGTCTAAGAGTCTACCACATCTGTACAAAATTCTCAACCCATTTATACCATACAGTGGAATCACCCTTATTAATACTTATTAATACAGCTCTAATTAATGACATCTCTTAGGGCCTCCCTCCCCTTAACCATACCAATTTTTGGGCATGGCGTTTACTTCGATTAAACATAAAGGAATCCATTAACATTGAAGAGAGCATGGCATCACAAGAACCATAATAGCATGAAACGGAGTAATTTGAAAATTTGAAAATTATGTTAGTGCTTCAATCTCTATCCTAGGGCTTAGAGGTTTAGTTCCTCATACTAACTGAAAATAAAAATAGTAACATAAACATAATGAAGATATAATTTTACAGATTTTTTTATCAATGGATATTTGTTGAAATGTCACCTGAACTTATACCTTAGTTTCAATTTGTCACATGAAAAAAAAAAAAAAAACTTAAGTGAAATGTCACCTATTTCAAAATCCATGATTTGTCACCTAAGTCTAACATCATCCAATTTTACATCTATTTTCAAGGGTATTTTAGTCTTTTCATTTTCAAGGATATTTTAAAATGGAAAAAATTATTATTAAAAAAATAAAGCTTAAATGTAAAAATGGCTGGGGGTTAAATGTGAAACGATATATAATTTTTATAATTTTCAAGGATCTTTTCATAATTTTTTTATAATGATTTTTCCATTTTAAAAATACTTTTGAAAATAAAAAGACTAAAATACCCTTGAAAATAGTTGGAAAATTGGATGATATTAAAATCAGGTGACAAATCTTGGATTTTGAAAAATTCAAGTGACATTTCACTTAAATTTTTTTTTTTCAGGTGACAAATTAAAACTAAGGTATAAATTCAGGTGACATTTCAATTAATATCCCTTTTATCAATGAATGAGCCACAAGGGGCTGTTATGGTGGCATAGTTTCCTACTTCTCCATCATTTCCCATTGGTTCTTTTGCTTTGCATATTTTGAAAATGTTGAAAGCTTCCTCGTCTTTTCATCTAACTGGCCTTTATCTCTTCTTGATGCATAAGTTTATTCCCTTCATCGTTAGCTGCACTCCTATCATATCATACTCATTTTGTATTACCATTTGATGGGACATTTGCACCAAACTCCTCATAAGTTATTGCTAGGTTTTTAAGCTTTCTAGGACATTTCCACCTTCACATTCTCACATGCTCTGACATGTGTGGCGAATTTTCTAGCTTAACACGTAGACAATACATATTAGGTAACATGGAGCGGGTGTGGTCGTTGGGCTTTACACGCGGGCAAACTCGCCATTTATGTCCAAAATGCAAGAAGTATTGGAAGGATATTGAGAGACCTTCTCAACATCCTTCAAACTTGGTTTGCATTTATCAAGGGTCCTGCCTGGAAATGGCATCAAGAATTTATTTGGGACAATATAAATATTGCTTGTATAATTTTCCACATCGCGTGCATATCATATGGAGGAAGCTTCTGTCGAGCCTGAATGAGACACTGTGAGAATGTGAATGTGAAAATGTTTCACATTGGAAAGTTAGAAAAATTTGCGAGGGCTTATAAGGTATTGGGCTACTCCTCCTCATTGCAAATTGATTTTGGGGTGAAACCAGAACTTCCTTCAGACACACACCAATCATTCATATGTCCATTTGCCCACATTACCGTCTGAAATGATATTATTAAACACATGTGAGCGAAATATGGAGCTGAATTGAGTTTTCTGTTTTCAAGAATTTAATTAACTAAATTTAAATGTCCTTGAAATTTGAGCAAATGGAAAAAGAGTGGTGAATTTTTTTATTGCAATTAATTGGGTGTTTATAGGGAAAATATGATTAGATTAAAACAAAAAAGGAGTTGCAATTTTGGATAATTGGAAAACTAGCTGTTGAAATTTTACATTGATTTTGAGAAAAAAAAAAACATATATAGAATTATTCAAAACCTAGTCATCTAATTTTGAAAGCTGTTACATCAAGAACTATATAAAAGACGTGCGGATGAACAGTCGTCTAGAAAAAATAACTGAAAAGTTGTGTGCGTGCTCGTGCTCCGAATATCGGCGAGCAGGCGAAAAGCCGCACATATTTTGCGAGGGTTGGAGTCCCAGAACAGTATCACGTGGCCCGCTTGTTTTTCCGGATGCAACAACCAGTGGGATAAGGGTTCAGCCCAGCCCATTATACATACATGTTCGCATCCATGTATGGATCTAAATATTCCTTGCACCCATTTTATGAAACTTTTCAAGTGAGCTAATACTTCTTCCCTTTTACACATTTTGTCATCATCTAATTAACAGAGATACATACAGCTTTCACCATCTTATATTTAGATTTTGAATTTCCATTGCAGTGGTAGGTCTCTTGCAAGGTTTGAAATCAAATCTCCTTGAACGTTTGGGTATGCTACAATCTTTTTTTTTTCTTCATCTTTTCTTTATTCTCCATTAATTGTCTTAGCAATAAATTTTTTCATGAATTAGTGGTATGACATGTTTTTTTTTCAATGCCAACCTAGGAATCAACCGCATACGCCAAATAAAACAGGGCCATATGCAATCACTTGAACTCCTACATCACATGTGTGAATGGATAAAACATTCACGTAGCAATGATTATGTACGTAAAGCAATTTTCAGAGCTATCGAGAAAGGGATGTTTGAGTTTACTGACAGTTTATTGCAAGCAAGACCAGATCTCATGTGGATCCAGAACCAAATGGGAAGGGACCCCTTTCAGTTTGCAATTGAATGTCGCCAAGAAAAAATTTATAGCCTTATTTATAGACTCAATAAAAGAAAAAGAACATTGATTGGAACTTTTGGAGATAACTATGGCAATTGCTCCCTACATATGACCGGGATGCTATCCCCATTGGCAAAGCTCGATAATATCTCAGGTGCAGCTTTGCAAATGCAGAGAGAACTGCAATGGTTTAAGGTCAGAACATATTCTATATAATTCATAGTTAATTTTTTTTTTCTCTCTTATGAATTAGCTTTCATATATATGCCCTTTTTTGTTTGTAAATTGTGGGAATCGGCCATGATCTGCTTTCAATTACAGTTCAAAGGTCATTCTGCTACAAACTAGCTAAAATAATAAATCACTAAGGCATCTAACATTACATGTCATATGCTTATAAAAGACAAAAATAACTGATTTCAAATTTTTATATACTATTCCCCATGATCTATGTTTCTGGCTCCGCCTTGGTGTTTAAAATATAATATTATTCGAACTTTTTCTCTTTGTTTTTGGTTTGCTATTGGTTTGTTCATGAAGGTGTCAAACTTGTTTTGGTATAAACGAAGTGCTCTAAGTCTAACCAAACCAATTTCAAACTGCCCTCGAGCTTTATGCGCATATTCAAATGAAGGCCTGCACGCAATCAATAAAAGCATTATCCACTAAGCATATGGGTTCATCTTTGTTCTCTACATCATTCATCCATATTCATTTGAAAAATTGTGGCTTTTCCAACATCATTTGCATTACATTGCATCAGCAGATAGACGGATGCTGTCTTAAAAAAATTAAAGAAAATCGGAGTTACTTTATACTTTTTCAACTTATACAAATTGTAACATAGATGAAAATAAATTGTTTGGGCTGAAATGAGTCATTGAACATTATTTTAGAATCATGCTGTGTATTGAGAGCATGTTTTCGTTACAAAAAGTGTAAGAGAATCGACAATCATGCTCTCTATTTTTTAGTTAAAATTTAGCTAAACACATAAAACATTATTATAAAATTTTAACTCCAATTATGCTATAAATATCTTTTAATTGGTCTATCTCTATAAAAATAATAACATACAAAATAGTTACCATTAATTAAGGTTTAAAATATTCATAAAATAAAGCATAATTAAATTATAAGGAGCCACTAGGAGTCCTTTCTCTTTTCTCAAATTTAGGAGCTCCTAAAAGTCTCCATATTTTAGGAGGTGGATAGGGAGTATGGTAGGAGTTGTATTTTTCCAGTTCTTCCCTAAAATTTTTGTCTAAGGAGGTCATTTAGGGAGCCCGTTGTAGATGCTCTGGAAAGGTGGTCAGCACAGTTACTTTTAGTTTATTCATTCCAATATTGAAAACTAATGCTTCAAACGCATTTTCTAATCGAAAACTAGAGCAAAATAGCACGAGTTAAACTATAACCTTTAATAGAAACTTCAAATGCAGAATGAAAAGAAAAATTGGAATAAAGGTCGGCCCTAAGATGTCTTATTCAACTTACTTTACGGTCAGCATGCTAGTCTTCTTGTTACCTCTGCTCTCTAATGGTTTGGGTTTGTATGGCTTCTCTCAAATTTCAAAGATTCAAGAGGGAATTATTGGAAAAATAGAGTAATAATCTTTTACTCATATGAATATTTGTGTTCAACAAAAATGTAGGAGGTCGAGACTATTGTATTACCCCGGACGAAAGACTCTACTAATAACGACGGTATGACGCCATGTAAGCTGTTTACTAAGAACCACAAAGAATTGGTGAAGGAAGGAGAAAGATGGATGAAAGGAACTGCATCTTCATGTACAGTTGTAGGTGCTCTCATTATTACCATCATGTTTGCTGCAGCATTCACAATTCCCGGTGGAAACAATGGAGAAACAGGCTTCCCAATATTCCTGCATAAAAAGTTGTTTATGGCTTTTATAGTTTCAGATGCAATATCTCTCTTTTCTTCCACAACTTCAGTGTTGATGTTCTTGGGAATCCTTACATCACGTTATGCAGAAGATGATTTCCTCAAATCCTTACCAACAAAGATGATAATAGGGCTTTCCACACTATTCTTCTCTATTGCCGCCATGATGGTTGCCTTTTCTTCTGCCCTTTTCATTATGGTCCATGAACAGTCGTGGATTGTTATTCCAATGATTTTCCTTGCTAGTATTCCAGTCACCTTATTTATTTGGATGCAATTTCCTCTTCTAGTTGAGATGTACATTTCTACTTATGGAGGAGGAATATTTGACAGGAAAGTGAAATCGAGGGCATAAATTCTTCTACTTGGAAGAGCAATATTTGATAGGAATAAAGTGAAATCATGGACATAATTTCTTGATGGTACGTATAAGTGGTAATGTTGTAACTTCTAAGAAGCTTGTATGCATTGTCCATGCCATGTATGTGTTTGGCATCCTATAATAAAACTGAAAGTTCATATCTATTTTATTTGTTCTTGTGAAGATATAATTGTTGGATAAGCTTTTGCTTCGCTCCCCTCCCCACCCTCCCTGATAATATGTTGTTGATTCTTGGTGAAGAAAAGCGTGTGAGAAAATAATTTGGGATCAAGTCTTGAAGTTGTTTGACTTTGTTTTGAGCTCTGCCTCTTACATACGAAGATCGAGCAACGAAAAGAACAAGGTGAAAGCCTCAGTACCCTAGCAATAGGAAAAATAACAAATCAGAATCAGCTTAAGTTTTTCAATATATTTGATCCATAGAGTTGGCTTCTGTTAGCAATGTATTGAAACAAACAAAACACTGGTTTATTTATTTATTTATATATTGGTGGTGAATGCTGAAATAAAGAAACATAAACTACATGGTTTATTTATTTATTTAGTCGTTGAAGTTTTCATGATTCGTAATCTCAATTCCTTTGAAATTTTTTCTTTTTCTCTTTTAATTTTTTTGGGTATATAAGTAATAGATGGAATATTGGTATACTCAGATAAAGAAAAAGAACAAATGTAAGTACTTAAAGAATGCTTGAAAAGAACAGGCCTGATTCTTAATGCACTCAACCCCCAACACTACTTTAAGATGAGATCCTTTACTCTTCTGAGTTGTAAACTTTGATCTGAGACCTAAATATAAAAACAACAAAAATAGCAAGCCGGGTCAGCTTTCAGCCGCTCGTATCAGTAAGAGTGGTGAAACCTGTAGTTCTTGCCGATGCAATTATTGTGTAAGTTCTTAACGAAGATAACTGAGTACTGGAGTGCATGGTTAAAAATTACTTGTTGGCTAGAGGCCTTTGGGATGTAGTGTAGGGTACAGCTGAACGTCCTAAACCAGAAAACGCTTGTCAGTTCGAGGAGAAGACTTCCAGGGCTTTGCACGCAATCCAAAATTCGTGCGGGCCCGATGCTTTTTCCGTGACTAAGGAGATTAGTGTTAAAAAATATCAACCCCAGCCCACAACCTTCAAGATATTTTCAAGGTCGGTTGAACATGTGGCTGGGATGTTTTGTCAAGGTCGGTTAACTATATAAAGCCTACTTACATAAGTCGGTTACTACTTTTATAAATAGGCATGAAGTTTATTAATGTAATCAATTAAGAAGTCAAGAAGTTGAGTGATAGTAAGCTTTAGAGTTAAGTGGTTTAGAGTTTGCCTTTAGTAAGTGAGACAGAGTGTCAGATTCTAAAAATGTGTTTTTTCTTGAGAGTTGTCTTCTTGTAATATTTCGTGAGTCTAATAAAAGTAATTTCTTTACTTGTTTTGTCTCCAACAAGTCTATATTAGAGTTGTGTACTCTAATTTTCTTAACAATTGGTATCAGAGCGGGACAATCAAGGACTGATTCTGCAGGAACTTCCTTGAGTCATGAGGAGTTTGTCTCTACAAGTTTGCATCTTTAAATCAAGCTTGTTTGGTACAGCTGAAATTCTGCCGACACAGTGGGTGATCTTCACGTAGTTGGAGGAATCACAAAGCTCAACAACAAAAATTACAACACGTGGGCGACATGTATGGAGTATTATTTGCAAGGTCAAGATCTTTGGGATGTCGTCGAGGGTAATGAGGTTAGATAGCCGTGAAGAGATAATAGAGACATTTTGCGTAAATGGAAGATCAAAGCAGGTAAAGCCATGTTTTCCCTAAAGACAATAATTGAAGAAGAAATGTTGGAGCACATAAGGTAAGCCAAAACACCAAAGGAAGCATAAGATACCTTTGCAACACTCTTTTCAAGAAGGAAGGACTATTTCCAAAACCCAGATCCAAATGCTGGACCTTACCTAGTACCTACCATCATCGACAATGATACTTTTTGAATAATTTGAAATTTCAGTCTTTTGTTTGCTTTTTGAATCAAGTACTTTTTGAATATTGTGTATCAATTCAGATTTTAAAAATATGTTTTGTTACGAAAAATCTTTGCTGAGATTTCTGATATCCACATGTGAACAAAGACTTAGACAAAAGCCCCCCAACTACTTTAAAGACTGACAATTAACAACCCCAACTCTTTAACTAGTCATTCTTTACTCCAAGTCTAATTCATTAAATTTATTAAACAAGAGATTTTCTATTTAAACCTCACACTTCTCTTAGTTCACCCTATGTTCTAAGTTCACCCCAATTTTTAATTTAAAATTTCAAAATTTCTAAGGAAACCCCAATATCTTTCCAAACTACCCTTAAATAAAGGGACCAACAATTTCGTCGACGAATTATATTTTTGAATCTTCGCTAAGCTGTCTTTTGCGACGAACAGTTTCGTCGCACAAGTTTTTACCGCCAAATAAAGGGACCCATTGTTTTCTGTCCGTTTTTGCTCGACGAATTTTAGAACCGTCGCATGAGGTTGTCTTAAGCAACGATATTCCTCGTCGCGCAAGTGTTTCGCTCCAAAAAAAATTTACCGGCTACTTTTAACTCACTTTGCGCGATGACAAATTTTTTTGTCGCGCAAAGACATTTTGTGCGACGACAAATTTGGTCGCACAAGTTTTCAGTGGTATGCGCGACGAATAATTTTTTTCGTCGCCCCAATGCATTTTGCGCGACAAATATTTCTTCGTCGCGCAAATGGTAAAATGTAGTAGTGCATGACGATTATGACGATGGTGGTGATGATGTGCTTCAAGAACTTCTGCCATTATATATCAAAGGCAATAAGGGACAAAGAGTAAATATGACAATATAAATACATTTTTCTTTGTCTAAATAATAATTTGTGGCTACAATTAATATATGATTATCAAGAACATGTATATTTGTTTTTGTAGCACTAACCTGTAAACGTGGCGATGTATAAAAGGAAGAAACAAGAAGAGGCTATGGCTGTTTGCTTCTCCATTTAAAAGCAGAGATTTCGGATGTGTTGAAAAATAAAGAACTATATGATATGAAGTGATATTGTGGGTGGAAGAAACTGGCAGTCTTTCATCTGGTTGCTGGTCTGCTCTGAGCCCTGCTGTATCATGGAGGGCTAGTCTTGGCAACTTCAACAACTATCATCCAGCTATTAATGATCTGCAAGAATCATCAACAAAAAATAGGCTAAGCTTTCCTCTTCAGAGTGTTGGATCTGTTTTATAAACACGTAAAACATGTAAACCAAAGACAAGAAAGACTACGCCTACGTGTTTGATTTATTCCAATCAGTTTATAAAAATAAAAAGCATGTTGAAACTTGCCTTGCCATTCATCTCTCTGAGTGCTGCACTAGCAGCTTCCTCTGTGGTGTATTCTATGAATGCATAACCTTTGGACCTTTTAGAAATTTTGTCCATTATTATTTTAACTGTTGAGGCAAACATTTAATTAGAATGAGCATATACTGCCATCAAATTGAAAACCCCATTTTATGCTTTAAAACAAAGTGCAGTACCTTCAACAAGCTCACCAAAGCCTTCAAATGCTGCTCGGAGGGTTTTCTCAGATGTATAAAATGATAGGCCTGTTCAGAAACTAAAATCTTCTTAGCAATTTCAAGTGATTATGCAATGAATAAAAGTTGCAACATACCAGTAACGAAAAGTTTCTTTGTTTTTGTCGGGGTTGTTTCACTTGCCTCTCCTGATGTCGACAGATCCGTAGAACTCTGCAAATTATTACCTGAGAAACACATATTCATAACTCATTGACATCGTTTACAGGTGGAATCTATTGCTGTAATGGTTAGCATTGGTGCCATTAAATGGAAAAGGACCTGAATAATGTTGGAAAAAAACAACTATCACTGCACTCTTAAAAAGAAATTTTTTTTATAAAAAAAATCATAATAGTTTGTAATTACGAATACCAATGTTCCTTCAGGAATCTTAAACTTCATATAAACCATCAGCAATGAACAAAAATGACTCAGGTGAAATTTTGTTGTTACAAACCCATTAAATGACCGTCGTAATTTATGAGTAAATACGTCCTTATTTTGTTACTAACCGTCGTTGATTGTATATAAAGACGACAGTATTGTGTTGAAAACGATCATTAATTATATGTACATACGGTTTTTTCAAAGAACCATCGTTTTATTATCTTTAAATATGTTGTCTAATAAGTTCTCAACCTGTTACGTTTTAGTTTTTTTTTTTCCTATGATTCTATACAATGATTGTAACTACAAAACCAATTATAATGCTTTATTAACATATATATACACTCAAAGTTTATTTCTTTCATAAAACTTGAAGATTCAATAGTTATTACATAGTCAATCAATCTTTCTATTACACATATACTTCTTACCAATAATTAAAAAGGAGCTCACAAATTCTCAACTTTATCAATTTGTTCTTGGGTTGACATAGCTCCGTCTTCTTGCACATTTTCCAAGTTGTTGTATTCCCCTCCCCAGTAACAATATCAGCAACAGCAAGCCCTTCTACAAGACTTGCAAAATTAACATCAAACTCGACAAACGCAAATCTTACTTCAGCAGTCGTGTTGTTTTTGTCCATGCACAGTGAATCTTGTGTGAGCTTTGAGAAAAGATAACCATAAACAAAGTATTTCTGAAAATAAAAACAGGGATAAAAAGCAGAGCCAAAGTAAGAGAAGGGGTTTAACTGAACTACTCCAATTATCTATAATCAATACCTAAATCCAAACCTACAACCCATACCAACAGCAACAATACTGAACTCAAAAACCAAAGATTCCTTTAATTCTTCTAAAGAAACATACATATATATGGTAACAGCCATTCTCTGTGGCTATTTCAGCCACTCCTTTCTCCAATCTGCCAAACTACAGTGTATTAGAATTGCTTTGAGTATTTTAATTAACCCTGTTGATGCTCCTTTTCGGGGAGGGTCAACTTAGAGATAGGGGGTTGTCCTTAGCAAGAGAAGGGTCTGGGCCTTCGGTAGAGGGCTAGCCTGCAGAAGACAAAAACAGAGGAAGCAGTCGTCAAGCTTCGGACACCGGTGGGATGCCGGCCGAAGGCTCTCCGATGCCTG